AAAATGTGACAGAGTTTAAAACATTCAAATTACTTCAATGTTATGTAAGGTCATTCACATTCTTAATAAACTTTTTAACAGTAACATTTTCTCTAAAAGTAAACTCCTTGATATTTGTTATTGTTGTGTATAGCAGGTGGTACTTATTTAATTTATTTAAGAAAATGTTGCGTAATAATGGAGCATATCAAATATTTTAACATTTATTTCCTCTTGCGTCGTTTTGATTTTAAATCAGTATTTTGATTTTAGTGACACCTTATTATAAATAAATTCTGGAAAACGTGCAATACAGTTTAGATAAACTGTTTATTATACAATGAATATAAATAATTATATAATTGTTCTTATGAGGCTTAAGTACGTATTGATTTTTACCTTATATTTTAAGCACAACATTTTTGTCATGAAAGATAAAATGTATCTTAACGAACGGTCCATCGTTTGGTCACTTGTTTGTGAAAAAAATAATACGTGAAAAACGTTTCTCTAATGTTCCCGCTATAACTGATGACTGGATAGATTACTAGAGCACTACTGGATTAAAACGTTTTCTAACCAATTGTTTATATATTTTTTACAAGAGACTTGTAACAAAATAAAACAATTTCGTGTAGATAATGTTAAAGTGTGTGTTAAGCCTAAACACTTGCTTTTTATACTAAAGAGAAGTACATTATATTTTTCATCTCTGCAGGTATGTATGTAACTCATTTATTTTTTTATGCTTAACCATATATGCCTTAAAACTATATGCCAATCCGAAACGCCGTGCTGATATGCATATACAGGGCGTCACATTGCACTAGGATCATATTTGCACGGACCTTTAGAAGCGTACATCATAAGTTTATTTTCTCAAATTCCGTAGTGAAAATTTTTATTGTTTAAAGTTTTTTTTTTGTAATTTTCATATCCCTTAATAAGACAGGTTAGTGTAACTTAAAAAAATGAGCACAATGAACACGATCGTATATTCAGTTGTGAGCTACGGTTAACAAATCTCATCTTTCTGAATTCGTATACGTTTTTTTTTTTCATATCACATATATTTAAAAATGAAGATAAACAAATATGGTACCGCCACTAAACGCTCAATTAAATAACTTTGTAAGTTTCAAGTCTAAACTCAGTTTAAAAAAAAAACAAATAGGAAACATGTACATTAGGCCTAAAAAACTGACCCCCCCCACATAAAGTTATAAAGAAAGTTGTAACTAAAATTACAAAATACCGTATAAGGAAATTATTTATGTAGGTAGGTAAAAAATTAACAGGAGTTGAACACTAACGCGTCGCCAGAATAAATAATCTTTCAACATCTATAAAGATAATGGGGGCCTATTTAAAGCATGAAGGTTTTCGAATAATTTTTATTGTTTCCTGCTAGTTCTTAGAGCACATCGATTTTTGTTCACACATCTTTTTGTGTCTTATATTTTAATTTTTCAAACGTTCACAATGCACTATACGGATTTGGTTATTTTATTGAAACGATACTGGCGAATAGTTACAACTCTACATGTTCGGACGATAGAACCTCAATTCGATTCAATTTAACTGCCATTTCGAATAAATGATCGTGACGAATCATACGGGGCGGTTTTACACGTGCGAGGTCTGTTCAGAAAATAAGTGAACTTTTTTAATTACGCGCTAATGGAGATATTTACTGATGTGCGGTTGGCAGCATTCCGTTGCGCATAATCTCTGTAACCACATGTGATTGGATTGTTGATATCTCATTTAGTTTTCGGGATATTGTCGTTTGAGTGCAACGTGTTTTTAAGTGTTGTGACGATTTTTGAAATGTGCGATTTTTTGGAACATCGATGTAACGCAATATTTTGCGTGAAACTGAGGAAAACATGACAGAAACGTTTCAACTTTTGAAACAAGCTTACGGAGATGATGCTCAAGGTCGTACAATGTTACGATTGTCTTCATTACAGTTTCCTACATTAATTATGAAAATTTATAGAATACTTGACCTGCAGTAGATATTTTTAGTGAATAAATATAGATAGCGATATTTATCTTTAGAATTTTTAATAAAAAAATAGTGATAAACAATTTTTCCTCGTTCTCGGTTATTCTAGAATTTTAAACTGATTTTATTGTGTATTATAATGTTGTCGAGTCTTTTGTGTATTATTTGTTTGAAGTTTTTTAAAGAAATTGAGAAGAATTTTGAATTTATATTTACTGACGTGCAGCTAATTTATTATATATCTTGATGTTTAAAGTTTCTATGAAGATTAAAAATTGTTCCAAAAATTAGTACCTTGTATGTTTGATATGTAAGTATACACCTACTTTTGTTTTAGCTAATATGTTTTGTTTAATTAAAAATTCTTAATAATCAAAATTAAAAAATTATTTAATCAATCTTATTTTTGAAAATAATCTAATGTATATTATTTAATTTTTATCTTGACTACTTTGGCAACATGTCTCTTTAAAAAAATTTTCGACAACGTGAGTTGTTATATTATTAAAAAAATTGTTGTATGACCTGATGATGTGTAATCTTGACCTCGAAACTAGTTGTCGTATGTAATTAATTTTACAATAAAGGATTGTGAGAGTTGAAGACTTTTTTTATATTCCCATAGGTAATATGAACTCACGCTTATCTATTTCATGTTTATGTTACGAATGGTTTTCACGAATTAAAAGTGGTCGTCAGTCAATTGAAGATGATCCTCGACCAGGAAGGCCTTCGACTTCAACTAATGATTCTCACGTTCAGAAAGTCAAAGATGTGGTGCGTGCAAATCGCGGATTGACTGTCAGAGAAATTGCAGAAGTGGTTAGTAATCCAATTGGGTTATGGAATGAAATTTTGACAGAAAAATTGAACATGCATCGAGTTGCAGCGAAATTTGTTCCTCGTTTAATGATCGAACAGCAGAAAGAAAATCATCTGGATGTTTGTTGGTAACTCCTTAAACAATCCAATGACGATGAAATATTCGTTTATAGGATCATAACGTGAAATGTAAGCTGGGTTTGTGGCTGCGACAGTGAGACAAAAGTTCAATCATCACAATGGATTGGCAAAGGTTCTCCACGCTCCAAGAAATCGCGTCCATCTCGACCCAATGTCAAAGTAATGCTCACTGTTTTTTTTTTTCGATTTTAATGCAATTGTGCATATTGAATTCTTATCGCAAGGTGAAACAGTAAGTCGTGTGTACTATCAAGGTGATTTACAGCGGTTACGTAAAAAAAATCCGCAAAAAGAGACTAGAATTGTGGCGAGGCAACTCATGATTTTTGCACCATGACAGTGCGTCTGCAGACTCAGCTTTGTTCGTTAGTTCTGTGCCAAAAATCAGATTACCTACTGTTCTCCCTCACCCTGTTTCACAGAATTTAAAGTTTATTTCAAATAAAGCTATCCAGGACTGCTTCGCGAAATGGAAACACCTCTGGGAAAAGTGTATGAATGGGGGGAGGGAGTATTTTGAAGTAGACAAGGATCAATAATGTGTAAAATTAATAAAGTTTAAAAAATAGAGTCTGCTTATTTTCTTACTGGCCCTCATACTCAGTTGTTGATTATAGTTTTATGTCGATGGTTTCGTGCTACTTTTCCGCTTTTCGTATTATGACTCCATTGTCTAATGTTTATATATTATATTCAAAATATACCTCTATATTTATTGCGGTTTACTGAGAAAAATGTGTATTGTTTTACAAAACGAAGTGTTTTACTGCTTTGCATATGAGTTACCAGAAATGTAATTACTTTTAACTGATTATTTCTCAGAATGTTTGTACTTACTAATGTTTCAAAAATATATATTAACTGCAAATATACAGAATGTTCAGTTACTAGTCGGCCAAACGCCAACAACATATCCTACGGTGAAAATTAAGGTGAAAATTAAATAAATTTTCACTCGCATGTCGGAAATTATTTAAACAATTATTTTCTAATATGACCTGGATAATATACTGATGCTAACTTGCACGATTAGGTATAATTTAATGTAAATGCTAAAATTTCATTCTCGGAAACCTTTTATAAAAAATAAATGTTATGCCACTGTGTAAAACCGAAATAATGACATTTTTATCTTGACAGCGGGAGTTTATATTGTGTAATAGGAGAACAAAAAACGATACTTTTGAACTCCTGATGCTTTCATTGTTTTTGATTTGTGTTAAAAGTTACTATTATCCATGGTAACAGGTAAAGTTTTAAAATTCTTTGTAGAATATCACTTTATAATAAATTTGAAATCACATTACTACTGTTTCTGTACATGAAAATGTGTATTTTTGGCCCATTTTAATTAATTGATTGCTGTTTAATAAAAATAATTAAGCCTACAGATTAGAAATAGCATAAAAGTTTCAATTTATAGCTAAACTAACTTTTTTTTAAGGACACTATTCAGAAAACGGTTAGAAATTAGAAAAAATTGTGATATTTTTATTACTTTCATATTTCTGCCATATTGATAATAAAGAGAAGCACGCCCTTATTTTCATTACAGTTTATTTTTGGCTTCAAAGCCGCAAACTTTCAGTTTTCTTTTTTCCAAAATTTCTTGTTTTTTTTTTTTTTTTTTTTTATTTTTTCCAAATTTCCATTTACTCCCGATGTTCTTCAATTCTAGTATTTATAAAAGTCTTACAAGGTAAACTGTAAATGTATGTACCCTACAGGATTGAAAAACTGTTGTACCTATTATTAAAATTACTTATATTTTTTTTTGGATAAACTGTATCTACTTCTCTCTTACTCATTATGAGAATATGTTTAGTTAAACAAAACTAAATGTAAGGATAAAATCAACTCCTTGGCCGATCTTTTTGGCGTAAGGCGTGGTTTATTTATTTATTTCTTTTTAGTGTGGCAAGAATACCTCCCAATAAACAAATCATGTAGGATAGACAACTAAATAGCAAATGTATGATATAAATACGTTTTATTACATGTTAATATAAAATACTATACACATAAATATTAAAAAAAATGTTATCACAAATCATTATTGCCATATTTTTTATAGTTACCTCAGTTACGTAAAACGATGCAACATTGACAAAACAAAAACAAAGAACACACAACAATAATACTGCTAAATCTAATCACGCATATAAAAATTAGTAGTCTTTACGGTGAATACTTAAATCTAGAGGCACGTCGATGTCCATGTTTTCTTGGTTACCAACTTCATAGGCGCTAACCATCCTTTTCGGTTCGGAAATATAGGGATCGAGAAACCTGTTCCAACTCAAACTTTTCTCTTCATTTTTCATATTAATCAAAGCTCCAATTCTGAAGATATCGCCTGCTTTTGTAAAGCAGTTGGAGACGCAACACACTCGATTGCAGTTGCAGGGATGTTTGATGACATTTTCTCGGTAAATAGTTTCTCCGTTCGGAGTATAAATCGACACCCTTTCCTCATTTTTACCCGAATTTACTTCAGAGGTTTTGTTAATATGAGTATTGTTATTATCCTTCCTTTGATCATTTGTTTGATTATTTTCTATGTTTTCGTTAACGAAATGTTTGTACGTCTTGACGTGTTTTCTTAAGCTGCTAGGGTCGGTGTATCTCTTGGGACACCCAGGTACTTTGCATTGGTAAGGTTTTTCAACTTGATGTGTTCTTGTATGTTTGAATCTGTCGCTTGAGTTAGAGTAGGCTTTGTTGCAGCCCGGTACTGGGCAAACATACGGTTTTTCTCCACTATGCGATCTGGAATGGATTTTAAGGTTTTCAGCTCTCGAAAACGATTTGTCGCACTGAAAACATTTGTGAGGCTTCTCGTTTGTATGGGTGCGTACGTGAACGAGCATCTTGTATCTGCAACAATGATTTTATGTTTAATATTATTGTATTATAACCAGTATTTAATATTTAGGGTATATACAAATTTGGAGAAAGATTTTCAATAATCAAAATCGTTAAAGCTCCAAACCGATGGCGGTGGTCAAATTAATAATAATCAGAATTATTAAAACTTATTGAGAACCTCTGGAATCGTTCCCGACTACATACTACATAAAATGACCTCTCCAAGTTTGTAAACATCCTGTACATTATTTCTACACCTTTTCAGATGTATTACAGAATTTTATTTCAGGTTTGGTAGTTTTGTTTCAGAAAGTTACAGTTGCGTGATACCTCAAAAGCATTAAATGTATTTTAGAACTCTTCAAAAAATCAGGTTAAATTGTGTTTTAAAAATAATAGCAATAACCATTAAAATTAATTTCATTATTCCATTTTTATGGTCACAGTGATGATGATAATTGATTCTATGTTACAAACAAATATAAACATGTGTCCAGGGACCCTTCATTTTCGATATACAGAATGTTTAAAATTAATTATTTCAAAATGCAAAGAACCGTTGAGGAAGCCATGTAAATACTACTAAATTTTATCTAACGTGGTTATATGTAAATAATTATTTGATGTGTCGGTTTTAGCAACAATTACATTACCTAGACATGGTCATTTATCTCAACACCATTGTACATTTTGCAAATCTTTTAATATTCTGTCATTATAGTGAATAAAATTTGAAATAGCTTGGAAGGAAACATGCGAAGAAAAATTATTACTATACTCTGTTTACCACAGTTATAGTCTTTCTGATCTCAATTGAAGAACCAAGAGGTTGGCAGTATATACCAGGTTCGGTTACTGACGCAGCAACTCGGCATTAAAAAATATTTAAAAAACTTGTTCCCATATTTATTTAGCCATGCTCATATACAGGTCAGGTCGCACTAAACGTGGAGGTGGTAGAAATGTATACGCCCAGTTGAAGAATAGTCGCGTGGACAAACGGCGTATAACACAGCCGGACTGAGCGACTGGGCAATACATCTCAGTTGTTGACAAGTGATTGACAAATTGCCTGGCAATGCAGTGCAGCAATGATATTCTTTGAAAATCAATATAAAATGGAGCATTTTAAGACACAAGTTTAAATTACTGGTTGTTTTTTTTTAATATGACCTGAGAAATCATCCGCTTCATTATTTTAAATTACTTGGAATTCCTTAGGATTACTTTGCAAGAAGCAATGATGCATATTTATTTCTATGTAATAAATCGTATCAGTACCTCTCGAATCTCCAATTTTTTTCATTGGTAGGCAACAACTATCACTATATCTATCCTTGAGATGAGTACTTAGTTTAGAAAATTCCAATACCCTGTTGCATAACTGTTCTACTACTAACTTATAAATAAATAAATAATTTTTCGAACAATATTAACTTTCGCCTTATATGTCTAGATAACTCCCTTTTTTTATGTTGAAATAATTATGTCAGCAGGTTCTATGATTACTCTTATATACAGTGATAAATGCGTGATTTAAAAAAATTCCCTATGTCTGTAAACTTTACGTACATTAGATAAAAACTGCATTAGTCTTACCTCGCATTAAATCCTTTGTTGTTTCTGGAGCAACCCTCCCATCCACAATAGAACAGACCACCTAAGCCGCTAGCAGAATGTACTTTCGAGACATGGGAAGCTAATTGATCCAAAGAGGGAAAAAACATCCCGCAGTTCTTCCAGCAACACCTGACATCGATCTTTTCAGCGTTTTTGATGATGCTGCTCATCGGCTGAATCTGTTTCGGCGATATTTCAACGCTTGAAACTGAATTGTCACTATCACTCTGTGGAAAAATAATATTTTAGAGATTAATTCAGTTACCAAAATGGTAGAAAAATGGCAATTTTTTACCTGAGCGCTGTTTGGCGAAGACGGCAGCATTAAGTCTTCCGACATTTCCATTCTGGGATAGTAAGGCTCAAACGGTCGGAAATACGGAAATTGGTCCTGGCTTGGCGCTGGATAGGGGTTGTAGTACTGTAAGGGTTGTCCCTCCACCATCCTGTGATTAGAAGAAACAATCATCTTAAACAAATTTACTACTTTGAATAACTTGTGAAACACCAATGTTCCCTCAGATAAAACCACATTTAAGTAATTATCATTTTGACAAAATAGATCATTTATATAAACTTGGTAAATAACCAAGACACATAAGAGTTATCTGTCTCTGTTTAATGTATACTTGTTATAAGAAAGACGTTGATTAGAAACTTTTTAATTGCTTTGATATTAAATATTAAATGTAATGTAATGCTGATAATGTCATCCTAAAATGCAGGGCCGGCTCAGAACTGAAATTTCACTGTAGTTCTGAAAAGCGCAAATCAAAAACAGAGCGCAGAGATATAGAATGAGACGGAAATGCAGTCAACCCATATGGGCTCTGCCCCCACTCCATTACTTTGCCACTGCGCATCCTACTCTCAGGGCTCATATGCTGGTTTATCTGTAAATAAACGCTGAAATGTTTAAATAAGTACTGTTTTGTTATTTAAATTTTCAGATATTCATATCACATCCGTTGACAACAACGTAAAACTGTTTCCCTTCAATAATTATTGCAACTACTACAATTGTTTGCCACCTTTTTAAATATTAAATTGTATTGGTTTATTTTTGTATGAAGTCAGTGGCGGCTCATCAGGTGACGCAAGTGACGCACCGCTTCACCTAAAATTTCCGTTTGGTTGTGCAATTTAAAATTTGATTTTATATAAATTTTATAATTTAGGTATAATTCTATATTGAAAATGTATTGTGTTTGTTTGTTTAATACGCAGAAATAAGTCTGTATTCTGCTTCTCTTCGTATCGTTGTTTACGGCGATTGTCATGGCGACGAGGCGGCCAATTCGGGATTAAACTACGGCGTGGGGGAACGAGTGACGCAGAAATTGAAGCAGCTTCACCCATCGCCTGCCAGTTTATACGAATGAATATGTTTCACCTATTATCAATGTCACGTGCCGCCACTGTATGAAGTCATTATTTAGCTGAAAATTGGAAAATGTATAAAACTAAATTGGAGGACGGCTAGGTGTGCCTTAATTGCGCCATCTATTAATAGGAAGCTCAACTAAAAATTCATACTATTATTCCACTTTTATTTAGTAACTGAAAGACAGAGAAGGTTTACTTAAATAATAAATTTTCTGTATTAACAATATCCACATTCTAGTACGTTACAACTGGAATTAAAATCTTGAAAACAAAAAATTTATACTACCCATTATTTGGGAGTTTTAAGTAATTTCAGTATTTTAAAATTTTTGATGCTGCCATCGTGGAGATCATCTCATATAATTCACAAATTATGTAATCTCAATATGTAAAAATCGAAAAACTGAATTTGGGAAATTGTTGACAATTTCTAAGAATTATGTTATTTTTCAAAGATAGGAAGTACTCTCCTACAATTTGAATAAAAACCAACCAGTGGAGTTAAAATTAGGACGGATCTAAGGGGTTTCAACTGTCAAAAAAATTATATGAGGTTAAGTTGGACCAAATAAAGAATCAGCCAAATAGGCATTTATGCCTCTTTAGCTTGTATGGTTCCAGAGTCGAAAAATAGTTATAACTACTGAATTTTTTTAGCTCCGGTTTTCTTCAAGGTCAGTTGTCAATTGGAAGTTCAATTTAAACTTCTGTTTTCATTCGCACAGGGGCAGAGCAGTCGCTAATAAAATTCAATAAAATAGTTGACACCATCTTGTATAAACAATCGCTTTTCAACTCTTTAAGTTAGATGTAGAAATGGCGTCGTAGTAAATTTTTTTCGGGTTTGGCTGTGTTGTGTGGAAATTTGGGATTTCACGGTGCCCAAATCCTGAATCAGTTCCTGTATACTGTTTCAATTGCTGGGGGCAAAGTAGTATAATATTTTGATTTACAACGAAGAAAGTCATATTAATGTCAATAAGAACCAGTAAGATCCGGAATTCGAGCTTTTATGGTCACAGGGGTCTGATAACACAAAGAACATGATCGTTGACTGACCCGGGAACCGGTTCGAGCTGGATGCTGATAACACATATCACTTTATTTGGATTACATTTTTAAGAATACTGTCTGATAATGTTAAGTACGAAGGATTTTTTCGTAACGGGTGAGCAAATTTACTTTAAAGAATGAGGCAAATACGCAGTGGATATATGTATACAGTGTATTTTTTTTTAAAACCTGATATAGACCAACTTTTTTATTTGAAGTGATAGACTAGTACCTCCAAATGCAAAGTAGGAGATAACTTGACTAAAAAAAATTTACAAAGCATGTTTTCCGGTATTGCCAGATTTCTGCAGTAGCTACTAAAACAATATTTTCTTAAATGACAACACCGTATTTTTTTAACAGATCTTCGAATTCTAAATAAAAAATGTTATGTCACATCTCTTTATTGGAGTAGCCGTTTTAGAACAATCAACAAAAACAACGAAAATAATCTGCAGTCGGCCGGAACTGAAAGAAGCTAACAAAGCAATAAGTAGGCCTTGAAAAACAAAAATTGTGTTGCTTGAAAGGACTCATCATAATTGTGCTGTTATTGTGTTATTTGAAAGCTTGTATCTGAATGTGTATAAAAATAACGTTTTAATTTAGTTGCTAAGATAAATCAGTTATTTAATTTAAATAGGATGGGGCACCACCTCATTTTACGCGAAATGAGCGGGATTATCTTCATGAACTGCTGCCAGAAAGATAGATAGATAGAAGAGGTTCAGTTGAGTGGCCTGCTAGGTCGCCTGACCTCACAACTTTAGACTTTCCTGTGGAGTTTCTTAAAAACCAAAGTATATGTGATCGCTTGAAGAACTAAGACAATCGAGAAATTAATAACATTACACCCAATATGTTGTAAAATGTTAGTCATAATATTGTTAAAAGAGTTCATTATTTTAGATTAAGTACAAGAGGGCACCAGTTTGAGCATTTGTTAAAAAAATAATTATCGATTAGTTTATAAGAGTTTTTTTATTTTTATTTTAAAATAGTTTCTTTTAGAAAAAAAGTTGTGAAAAGCATTCTGAGGCAACGGATCCCGCATGTCTCGGTTGACCCGCTTGGCACGCCATTTAATTGTGGCTCTCTCTAACAGCTCTAATTGATTGTTCTAAAACGGCTACTCCAATAAATAAATAAATAAAGAGATGTGACATAACATTTATTTAGAATTAGAAGATTTGTCAAATTATGTTAAAAAAATATAGTGTTGTCATTTAAAAAATATTGTTTTCGTAGCTACTAAAGAAATCTGGCAACACCGGAAAGTATTATTTGTAAATTTTTCGTAGTCAAATTAATTCCTACAACTTTTCATTTGGAAGTGCTAGTCTATCACTTCAAATAATAAAGTTGTCCTATGTCAGGTTTAAAAAAAATTGCGCTATATACAGAGTGTATCTAAATAACACCGAAAAAATGTAAGAGGCGATGAAAATAATAGGGGTCTTTGGTATACAATTTTTTGAAAAACCTCTCCCCTGAAAAGTTACCCCCTCCAAAAAATAAAAAAAAAAATTGGTTTTCTTTTTTATCTTCCATGTATATCAAACTAAAGAGACCAAACTTGGTGAACATTATCTGTCAAAAAAACTACACTTTTTGAAATTTTTTCAACCCTGAAGTATTTTTGTAAGGCGTTGAAATAACAGGCCATACATCTTTCGGCAAAATACATTTATCTTTTTAAAAATGCATTGCAATATATTTATTTTTTTTCTCATAAATCCTTAACTTTTCGAAAAAACTTGGAGGGACGTGACTTTTCAGGAGAGTTTTTCAAAAAATTTTATACCAAAGATCCCTATTAATTTTCATCATAGAATCGCCCCTTACATTTTTCGGTGTTATTTAGATACACCCTGTATATATGCATTTTATGTTGTCTTATGAAGTGGAAACTTGATATAAATGTCTGAAGATTTTGAAGATACGTTAATTGAAATATCACCGTGTAAATCTCAAATTCCAATTTTTTAAATACGGTTATAAATTTTTATGATATATACGTTTTTGTTGATATCTGTCTGGACAGAATATTTATAGTCCAAGCTATTACGTCTAGAGTGATGTTTTAAGTAGATTACTTAAGGACAGACGGGTACAGCTTTATATTTATATAAAATAATGCATTTTCTGCAGTATTCTTTTTTTCAAGTACTTTAATAATTATTTAATAACCAATCATACAGTACGAGAGTTAAATGTATATCCACTTTATTTTCTTTATAGAACTTTATTAAATTACAAGCGTTTAACCTCGTTTGTAAGGTTTGAAAGTATTTATTCAAAATTATGAAAAAAAGTAAAAAATAAAAATTTGGATAGATCAAAGAAAAAACAGAGACCTTGAATAGTGAATTTCTTGAATAAATCGCCAACAGGACCACTACCTATATCTCAGTCTCATTGACTTTTTTCTGAACTATTGTAGATTCAAGGTACTAACACTTCGAATTTTCTCTAAAAAAAACTTACTGTATTTTTAAAATTTTATACTTTGAAAATACTTATATCAAAAGCTATGCGTCTAAATTTCGATTTTTTATAGATATCTTTCAAGTCGATAGCTATTATTGATCAGCTAATAAAAAATATAAAAGATGCCCCGAAATGCAAATGCCTGCTGGTAGAACAATTGATTGAATTATAACAAAAAAAATACATGTCCAAGTTGAAATTCCTGAAAATATTGAACCTAAACAAGTTATATCTTTTAATCATCTCTAAAATGTTCTGGGTCAAAGTCATATGTTCTTTTATAAATCATAAAAGTGAAATATCTGAACATTTTCTCTTATTTTGAACATAAAATATGAGGAGTTTGAGAGAGAGTATCCGCTGCAAAAGACCAGATTTATGGAACGACAATACTTGATGTAGCATCACGATAATGCTCCATCACACAAAGCGATAATTAATTGTGAACGAATTTTTGACTAAAAACTCAACGAATGTCATCGAGCAGCCACCGCATTTGCCGGATATGATCCCTGATGACTTTTCCTCTTTCCCAAACTCAAATTACCACTTCGTGAAGCACAACATAAGCCATAAAACAAAAATCGCTGAAGGAGTCGAAGTCCATACAGGAATATGTTTAAAAAGTGCTTTGACATTTGGGTTGTTCATTGGAAAAAGGGTATTACTTCAAACGAAGCCTATTTTGAAGGAGGCAAAATAAATTTTGATTATTAATGGAATATATTGTGTTTTATTGACAAATTCTGGATACTTCTTTGACAGAATGTAACGATCCTGATCTTTCTTTTAGGGTGCCAGGTGTTTTCCATTTTTTCTGTGGTGGCCAATTAATTTTAATTTGAAAAATATTTTATTCAGTTAGTGTTGTTTAGTGTCCAGTGATATTCGTTATACAGGGTGTTTCAGTTCGAGTGAATCAAACCACAAATAGATAAATAATTCATCAGAATTCTCTTATTAAGCAAAGGTCTAAATCTCATCGTTTTCACTGTACAGGGCCGTATTGGTCCGTTGTTAAAATCATATTATTTGCGCAATCTTTGGTATGCTTATAACAAATTGATTCAAATTTGGTGTGGTATTAACATTTACACATGTGCATAATTTACTGTAAAATTGACAAATTTACAAGTCATGGCCCAACTTCTACGCCAATGGCCTAATAATCATTTGCGATTCATTTTTAGATTCCGAGGACAATTCTACATAAAAAAGGTATACTTGTTGAAAATCGGTATAGTGTATCGTTTTACCGAAAATCTCAGTTGATTGGGAGATAGTTTTTCTGATAAGAAATTTAGTTTCTTAAGGATGAATTTTAATTAATATTATTATGTCTTTGAATCGGCGAAACGACTGGAAAATTGTAATTATAATCCGTTGTGTATTATTTATTGCATTCGTAATGTGGTGAATTCCCCCTCTGAGCTCATTTTTTTGTACGCTACAGTGCGGTGGGCAGCATATTCAATGGCACATTCTCTAAAATTTCGTTTGTGTCATTCTGTAGCAGTTATAGGTATCCTTGCTCATTCAACGGTGCGTTTGTTTAAAAAATTACACCTACATATTAATTTTAAATCTGTGCTGTGCGTCCATTACAGTATCCGTACACAACGATTGCCATGAAAAAACAAATAAGCAATAATGTACTTATCTGTCGTCATAAACTGTCATTTTGTTTTAAAGATTTGAAATATTAGTTAGTGTTTGTAAAAAAAATTGATGAATATTCAATATTCACTATGCCGATTTTCAATAAGTATACCTTTTTTATGTAGAATTGTCCACCGATTCTAAAAATGAATCCTAAATGATTTTTAAGTCATTGGCGTAGAAGTTGGGGTAAAAAAATCCAGATTTTCTACCCTTTCCTACGCCACTGACCTATAAAAATTTGTAAATTTTACAGAAAATTATATAAATGAGTAAATTAACACCACACCAAATTTGAATCAATTTGTTATAAGCATACCAAAGATTTAGTAAAGAATATGATTGTAACAACCGACCAATACGGGCCTGTACAGTGAAAACGGTGAAACTTAGACTCTTGCTTTAAAGGCAATTCTGAAATATTTATTGAGTTCTATTTGTGGTTAAAGTTTGATTTACTCGAACTGAAAAACCCTTGTTTTTGTATTATAATCCAATACTTATATTTTAGATACACTGAAAAAAATACATATTTTGCTGATACTTCAAAGTTACGCAATGCACACAACGTATCCATATTATGCTATTAAAATATTGCACTATCTAGAACTTTTTTTCAGTTCTAAATAATATAGATTTATCCTGACTACGGCCCTAACTAACACGTACAGAAAATCTACTGTCTAGTCTACTCTCACTAGTGTGAAAAATTTAAATTTTACGTACCCTGCAGCTTGCATGAAGTTAGTATTTTTGAAAATATTGAAGGTGTTCCATAAATATTTGGCTTGCTCTGTAGGATGACAAACCAAAACACCGATTAACCATATCTTAAACGTAAGGCGTTTATTTTTTTATGGATTTCGCTGGGGACGTCGTGTATTCCGTATTTAATTCCGTATGTGTAGCTTATTTCTCATGCTTTCTGTACGTGATCTTTTGCGCAAAGCTCGTAAATACCTAATACTTATAATGACCTCACATTTAATCACAAAAATCCTTGATTCGCGATAATTTAAATTATCAGGAACAATGAAGCCTTGCAATTAAGTACCATCGAGTGCACGATTAATGGCACTTGTCAGGTTTATGCCCAATAAAAAAATTGTTTGTTGCGTATGTCATATCACCCTGGATAACAGAAAACGGTTTATTGTATTTTAAAATTTTGAATACAGGGTGTCCGGTAAGTACCTCCTAATCTCTCGGGAGTGTATAGGGGAGGTCAAAATAAAACTAGTCCTTCCTATAATTTTTTTTCCTAATGTGCCCCCTAACGGAGTTATGGGGGGTCAAAGGGGTACCTAGAAATTAACGTTTAGGGTTATAACTTTGAAACCACCCTGTATATTTTAATAAAATTTTCGTACGTTGTATTACACATGGAGCTCTACGATTTGATGCTAAAATCAACTTTTTGCTATTATCAGGTGTCCAGAAACGGACTGGCCCTATCACAATTTTTCTCAAAATTTTGACAGAAGTAATTTTATCAAACTGAAAATATTATTATTAGATACTCTGAAGGTTTTTCTTTAAAAATGGTACTCTTTATTTATTTCGAAAAAATGAACGGTTTGCGAGATAAATCGGTTTTGAAAAAAATTGGTAACAAAAACAACAATTAAAATTTATTTTTTTTACATATTATTTCATGCATTTAATTTCTTTAACTTTATCAAGTCCAGAAATCTTTGAACGGGTTGGCTATACTTTATGAGCAAGTAGTGACCAATTAAAAATAACATTTGAAAAATAACTTACTTACAAGACATGCAACAAAGAACATTCAACAATGAACAAAGGTACCTAAATGTTACTTCGGTAGATGTTCAAAATGAGCACCCCGTACTTCAATGCACTTTCTAATCCTACGAATGTTTTCCCGGTGCACTTGAAATAATATTCCGTGATTATTGCGGAGATGGTCACAGTTCTGTGTTAGCCTCAGCAGAAGTTCCTCTCTACTATTTACGGGTGTTGAATAAACGTTATTTTTTAAATGACCCCACAGAAAAAAGTCTAATGGGTTTAGGTCGGGCGACCTAGGTGGCCATAATACAGGTCCGCCTCGACCTATCCATCGATCACCAAAAACATTCGTCAGATGTTGACGTACTAAACGATCAAAGTGGGGTGGTGCACCGTCATGCATGTACCACATTTCAGTTCTTATTTGAAGGGGCACTTCTTCTAACAAAATATTTAGATTTTCCTCTAAAAATTGCAAATAAAGAGCACCATTAAGTCTTTGCTCCAGAATAAATGGACCAATCAAATGATTCCCGATAATGCCAGCCCACACATTCACCATAAACCTTTGTTGGTAGCGAGTTTGAACTAAAGCGTGAGGGTTTTCTTCATCCCAGACATGTAGATTATGCGAATTAATTATGCCGTCTCTTGTAAAACCTGCTTCATCGGTGAACAAAATAGATGTACCAAAATTATGATTCCGAATATGATGCTGTAAAAACCAATTGGCGTATTGAAGTCTTTTTGGATAATCATCTGGAGACATAGCATGTACTTTTTGGATGTGGTACGGGTAAAGCAATTGTTCTTTCAGAGTTTCATGTACAGCCCATTTTGTAACATTGTTTTGCGCCGCAAGCTTCCTTATGCTATTTGAAGGATTATTAGCAACGTCTTCCAATATTTGTTCCTCTACATGAGGGTCTCGTACTCTCCTCGGGGCTCCTGCTCCACCACGGCGTGGCAAAAAGCTTCCTAAATAAAGGATTCGGAAGAAATTAGTTTCACTAACGTTTTTCACTATTTTTTTTTACCTGTTTCTCTTAAACTACGATCAACTCTTTCAAAAGTTTTTGGACTCGGCAAATGTCGACCCGGAAACCTTTCCTCATAAAGTCTTCTTGCCTCCACGGAGTTGCATAATGCTTCCCCATAAATTAGGTGCATATCAGCATATTCTGCACAGGAATATTCTTCCATTTTTAAATGTTATTTCTAACGGCTTAAAACGAATACCACAATAAAATTGAATTTTTATTCTGTCACGCGCCTTTGACAAGTACTTTAAAATCAACAGGGTCTAACAACGAAAACAATAGAAAAGAACTCCATGGAGACAAGAGCAATAATAATTTGTAGATGTATTTTGGTCATAGATGTTGATTTTACAAGAAACGGCATTATTCATTCCCTTAATTCACCACCAGTAAATGTTTATGGTGAATCTGTAGGCTGGCACTAGCGGGAATGATTTTATTGTAAAAAAATAAATTTTAATTGTTGTTGTATTTGTTACCAATTTTTTTCAAAACCGATTTATCTCGCAAACCGTTCATTTTTTCGAAATAAATAAAGAGTACCATTTTTAAAGAAAAACCTTCAGAGTATCTAATAATAATATTTTCAGTTTGATAAAATTACTTCTGTCAAAATTTTGAGAAAAATTGTGATAGGGCCAGTCCGTTTCTGGACACCTGATAATAGCAAAAAGTTGATTTTAGCATCAAATCGTAGAGCTCCATGTGTAATACAACGTACGAAAATTTTATTAAAATATACAGGGTGGTTTCAAAGTTATAACCCTAAACGTTAATTTCTAGGTACCCCTTTGACCCCCCATAACTCCGTTAGGGGGCACATTAGGAAAAAAAATTATAGGAAGGATTAGTTTTATTTTGACCTCCCCTATACACTCCCGAGAGATTAGGAGGTGCTTACCGGACACCCTGTATACGAGTAAAATAATTTAGGGTATGTCCGTGATATACTTATTTAAATAAAATAATTCTACTAAAATTTTCAATGTACATATTACTACAAAAAACGAGATATCAGCCAGATTTCATTTTACTTGGAAAAAAATGTTTTTGGATAAAATAAGTAAATGTCTGTTTTACCCCTAAAATCAAACGGAAACTGAATATTAATATATGAAATTAAAATAAATATGAGCAGAGGAATCTGCATTTATTATCACAAATGATTAAGAATGAATATACTTATTTTCGGTATTTCAAAGCACCATTCTGAAAGATGTAACAAAAGAATTTTATATGGTCTTAAACGTACAAAATATGACAAAGATTGCATAATTTCTTTTAAGTCTTATATCAGAGAAACTTCTAAATTATATCGAGGCAATCAGCCTTCATCTGTCTTTTTATTTTTGTAAATACAATGCGTACACCAAAAAGGTCACACAATGTGATAACATATCTGTCGTTTCAAAATCTTGCTCTGCAAACTTGAATTTTGTAATATAAAACAACAACACTTAATCCTCGTATAGATTGTCTGTAAAAGATTATGTAGTTTTAATGTTTCATTAAAATATTTCGTTGATAAATACAAACAAGTGACTGAATTTCAGACTACAAAATTACTTTGTTGATATTATTGAATGAATTATTTTATTTTCGATTTATATTTTTATGTTCGATGTTATATTGAACAAAAAAAAACGCAGGGTGTCTCGTAAAAATAAGATGACAAGCGCATAATAACAAATATTTCGTTTCTTAGACACAGGAGTTAGAGACACGTTAAATTTATTTTTTTTCGAAATTACTCGAGATATCTTAATGACGTTGAAATTACCTACCTACTTATAAATGTCTACGAATTACATATAGATATTTTCCAAAATTTTCGCTCTATTAAAAACGGTAGAAAACGAGAATTCTATGGTGGAACATACATAGTTAAAAAAATGAAATCCATATCAAATATCCATATAAAGTGTAATTTGAAGAAACAATCATACAAAGTATAGATATAACTACAAAATATAAGAATTATTTAGAATCGGAGCTTAATCGCCATCATTATTTCCTTCAATAGTTGTAGTTACTCAAGTTTCATCAAATATGGAGGTCAATATTTCAGCCGTATTAAGATTTTGGATTTGTAACGGGCAGGTGACCAATAGTAAATAACTGTCGCTATATGGGAACAACACCCCTCGGATCTATTTCCGTTTGCACAATTACACACATATCTTTGAATGCCCGTATAGCTATTCAAGCTTGGTGTATACTCAATATAGCAATTATGTTTATTTGGGCTTATAAATAATAATGTAAATGTTATTAATCAAGATTATACAATATAAGATAATTTATTCGAGGGCTACTGGCATAAACGTAAATAAAGTTGAGTACCCTCTCCGAGCAGGCATCCGTCTCCTGCTTAAAGTAGTGTGGATGCCCAAAGTCGACGTTCGTTCACTCTCGGATTTAGTGTCCGACGTCCCTTAGTTTGGCTCTCCAGGTCTCCGGTAAAATCGAGTTTCAAAATCCATAGATCCAGATTATGTAATCTTCCTGGATTATCCCAAATAATGACGGACAGGGTGTTATATGGATTAGGTCCGAATTTCGTAATCGGAAATTTTTTAAATCGAGTCATCAAGGATGAGCGCTGCCACATCGGGCGGTTGAAACCTCGTGGAGCCATTTTTGGGCGCAGCGACGGGAAAATTGGAAACATGGGTGAAAACCGTCCTACGTCGTTATGGATGGTGTGATCGGCTTCATTTTTTGATACGATATCGTCTCTTTGTGCTTTTCTTCAAGGTAGAGATAACTGACAATACATTAAAAATAAGGAAATTAAACATATTTTTTCCTCGTATGTTTATCTTACGTTTCCTGAATTTTGCCCGGTTGTTGAACATACAGAAAATCGCGTCCGGTACTATAAACATAACCACACGCGAAGAATGCTTTTAAGGAACTATTAACACATGCATTAATTACAGTTATTGAGTATCATTACAAATTTGCTGGACAAAACAGGAAAGATACATTTTCTGATGTTTA